TGCAATGTGGGACTCCCTGCCAGAGTGCTGGGGGTGCAGAAACGTGCCTGGGTTCAAAAAGTGATCATCACACCCACCAGCAGAAGAAAAAACCATTCAAGGGGTCTGAAATATGAAGACACCATTTTGACTCAGATATTCTTACAGTCACAGATCGCTGGAAGTCAGGAAAGTATTTTTATTTTTCACTGTACGCTTGGCCTGTTCTAAAACCCTTGCTAGGCACCTGCTGTTGGCCACTACTGGAACAGGATGGCAGGCCCAACAGTTCTTTCTTACAATGCACTTGGTGTCTTGGTTTTCAATTTTTATGTAACATACCTTAAAACTTCAAAATTGCAGTTCCCCCCCTTTACCTTCAAAAGCAATCAATGCCAGAAGCACCCTTGTGGCTATTTTGTCTTTTTTCTTCATAAAACAGAACTGTCTTTAATAAATGAAACTGCTGCTGCTTTTTTTTTAAAAAAAAAAAAAAAAGAGAGACCCAAAAACACACTGGCCTCAACAAAGACAGCTGCTATTTTTTCCCACTGTGAAAGTTAGGAGTGCACAGGGAAAACACAGAGGACCTGGAAGGTTCTGTAGATTAAGGACACACAAAAAGAGAAAATGCATGGAAACACGCCACAGGAAATTCTGAAGAATCAGAGGAAACATAAAAGAATCAGAAAATTAAAAGCAGGGCATCAAGGAAGAAAGGCCACACAGGCAAATGTAGGAGATATAGAAATTAAATGGAAAATGGAAGGGCATGCAACACAGTGAAAATTTTAACACTGAAAAAACTAATGCGATCTTACGGAAAAGATAAACATTTTCTGTAATGAGTAAGTGGGGTGTTACTGAGAACCTGAAATTACAGGAGGGGGAAAACGTCCTCAAAAAGAAAAAGGCCTGAAGGACACTCTTCCTCCAGCATATTATTTAACTGACTATAATGAATTTGGGGAATCCAATGGTTTTCTGTGCAATTTATTGCCAATAGTATGAACAGTATCATATATAGTATCTCAATTACAGCAAAACATGTGCACCACTATGCTTGTCAGAAATACACTTTTCCAGGTTTGTTAAGTGCTTTGAAATATATATGTAAGTCAGCGGTTTATATATCCTACCTAGGTCCTGAGATGGTAAGTAATCCACAGTTAGAGTCAAGGTGTAGAGTGCTCCTACTTCACAATTCTAGTTGTTGCCAGTACTAGCTGTAACTCTACTACCTGGTATCCAAAAGCTTCCATGAGCAAAAAAAATGAAACTACTGGAAGAAGGTAACTTTGAATAGCATAGTCACAACTTTTTGACAGAAAATTCAGAACAAACTCAACATTACAAGTCCAGAGAAGTCAAGTGCAAGTGTTTTTTACTAGAATGATCAGGTATTTAGAGATAAACAGTTTGACCTTGTAACTTCTATAACAGAATTTTTAACGCATATAACGATGCTAAATGATGTCACACCTACCATCACAGCTTTATCACACACCTGCTGATGCTGGATGGTCATTCACCTCTAGCAGTCGGGTTATTCATAAATCTCTCGGATTTCTTTTACAAGTAACTTTTTTCACCCCCAAAATTACAACGGTCAGCTTAAAAGTCTTGATCTCAAGCAGGCTGAAGATTTACTGGCAATGGTAAACTTGCTTTTAAACAACTCACATGGTTTGGGGCATAGGAACAGCCCCACTAATCCTTGTTTAAATGACCGCAGAGTGGCAAGCCTTGCTTTACCGTCCCCGGCGGTACAACCGCAGGCACCTCCGGCGATCACACGGCAGCGCGGAGCCGGGTGAGCCCCGCCGGCAGCCGGCCCCGGCGCCCGCCCACGGGCGGCGGGAGCCCACCCCGGCAGGCCTCGACCCCTCGAGTTAACGGCCGCGCCGGGGGCTCCAGGAAATCCTCCGCCGTTCCTGTAAACCCAGCTGCTTTTGCCCTGACTCAGGGATAAATCCCGGAAACGGCGCGGGGGAGCCCAGCGGGAGCACCGCCGGCCTCTCGCCTCGGCCCGGCGGCCCCGCAGCGCCGCTGCCCGGTGACACCGCAGGGGCGGCTCGGCTCCCCCAACGCCGGTCACCGGCCACCCCCCCACCGCCCACCTCGCCCCTCCGCAAGACAAAATGCCCCCCAGCCGCGGCCGGAGCTGCCCCCCTCCCACTCCCCGCCCCGGCACGGCGCTGCCGGGAGGGAAGCCGGAGAGCGGGAGCCGAAAGCGGGCTGTCCGCAGACCCGGAGCGATGAGGAGCCCCGCGGAGGCGAGAAGGGGGCGGGGAGGGGGGAAGCAACCGGGGCCCGAAAGCTCCGCGGAGGACACCGCTCTTGCAGCCCCTGGGAAATAAAAAAAAAAAAAAAAAAAAAAACGGAGCCGCCGCCAGCCCGGGGTTCGCTCCCGTCCCGCGGGGAGCGGCGAACCCCCCGCCGTGACTTACCGTCCCCAGCGAGCTGCGGGGCAGCGCCGGGCCGCGCATGGCTCCGCGGCCCGCTACATCCCCGTGGCAGGGTACCCCGCGTCCAGAGGGAGCTGCCCCAGCCCTGCCCAGCCCCGGCTGGAGCCGCGGGGAGCTAAACCGCCCCGTCTCCAACTTCCTGGCAGCGGCGGCGGCAGGAAAGAGGGCGGGAGGAGAGGGAAGGGCGGGAGGGGAGCGAGGGGAGGCGGCGCGGCCCGGCCCGGCCCGGCGCCGCGCCCCGCTCGCCCTCCCCGCCTCCTGCCCTGCCCGCCGGCGCACACCGGCGGCCCGTCTTCTTGAAAAACGGAGATGGGCAAGGTGGAGGAAAAACAACCGATGGTGTACCGCGTGGCGAAAAACTGCCGGGAAACGCAAGGAAGAGGAGCCAGAGTTCACCGTCGTCCTCAAACGCCCCGACGTAGGAGCGTTTCGCCTTTCAGCCGTACTTCTAGGGTTAAATTCATGTGAAACTTAACCATGTAGCTGTAAGGAAATAACTCTGCGTCTTAACTCCCTTGTCAGCACCTAAATAATCTTAAAGATGGGTATTTATCAGCCCAAACTAGCATATTTAGCGGATATATGCCCATCCTGTACTTTTTCATTTAAAACACACATTTTCTTGTACACTCCAACAAATCAGCTGCATTGACAGTGCAAATATAAGTGGAGCACATGGAACATTCTGCATGAACTCTGCTTCATTAAACGTATGCCCATACCGATAGTGTTTAGGAAAAAAAAAAAAAAAAAGTAAGGAATAAGAGGCTAATGGAAAAAAAATAATCAATGGCTAAACGATAATGAAGGGGGAAGACATGGAAAATTACAACTTTACAACTCCCCTTTACTTGTTGCCCGTCAAGACCTTGCCCTCACATTGTTTCGGAACTGCTTCCACTCTTGAGGTAACGAGCTGTGCGTGCTAGTTACCTGGTCTTGGCTCCTTGGCTGCTGGGGGCGGTAGGAGTTGGTCGCTTGTTACGGCAAGAGACAGTCGTCATGAACGGGAGGGGCAGTGAAACAGCTGCAGCGCCTATCTTCCAGCTATTAGTTTGTGACAGGCAAGGCTCCCCCGCTTCCTGCAATTATCTCTGTACTGTAGTCAAAGGTAGTACACTGCGCTACTAAGCCTTGTTTTGGAATATGCCCATTCCACACATATAAGCCCAAAGTACCCTGTACAATTCACTCTACGTGCTGCCTGAATTGCTGCAAAGCCAAATGCCTCCACTTACTCCAGAGTTGCTTGTCTGCTGTATAGAAGCCAGCAATGGCACATGCACGGGGACAAAATAACAAGGGCCATGCAGCCACACAGCTCTCTTCTGTGCTTCAGGCTTGGAATAGCTCTGACTTTCCAGCAGCAGGTTCCAGGAGGGAAGGAAATAGAAGAATAACCTGTTATCATGCTGCACCCATCTCCAGGGATAGAGACATAAAAGATTTACCAAGTTTTTCCTAGTTCATTTCCTTGCCTTGAACCAGAACAATACAAAATTAGCCCCTAAGGGAAAAATCTTCATGCACGGATGAGTACGCTCTGTGGAGCAGGAAATCACATTTTTCAGAGATTGTTCTGACTTATCACATACTGTCATATGAGTGGACGAGGCACACCCTTAGAACTTCACAGAGCTTCAGACTTCCAGAAAAAGAAACACCGTTTCTCTAGAATCACACAGGCGTCAGAGAAATCCCCACAAATCTTCACGTTTGACTCCTCCCGCCGCACATTTGACATTTACATTAATGTCAACCGCATTAGCACACATCCACTTCCCAGCTTTCGCCAGAACCGGCAGGCCCACACCACCTTCCCTCCCCGCCGTCTCCCTGTGACCTGCCAGGCCTCTAGTGCTTCCCGGTGCTCCGTGGCTACGTGCCACCAAAGGGCCCGGGCCCAGCTCGCCACCCTCCTGTCACACAGCCGCTTTCAGCTTGTCTGTCAGCTCGGCCGCTTTACTCCCGGCCTGCAGAGCCCTCCCCGCGAAGGACGGCCTCGATGAGGGAAACGCCTCTCACCGCTGCTCTGAGACTTTTTACCTCAGGGACGGTGCCCGCCCCGGGGCCGACAGGGCCGCGGCCGCCCCCGCGCGCCGCCCGCTGCCGGGAGGCGGGGCAAGCGCCGGGCGGGGGGCAGTGATTGGCCGGAGGAGAGGGCTCGGCGGCGCTCCCGGCGGGCCTTGCGCGGTTTCCCGCCGCCGCGTCGCCACAGCAACGCCGTGAGGCACGCGGCTGGGCCGGGCGCCGCCATGGCGCAGCCCAGCGCGGCGGTGAGTGACCTGGGGGGGGGCTCCGGGCCCTCCCCGCCGCACGGCGCTGAAGCCCCGTTTCTCTGCTTCTCCCTAGGAGCAGCGCTGGCTACAGGCGGCTCGAGACTTCGCCCGCCGAGCGCTCCCTGCCCGCGAGGGGCCTGGCGGGCCGGAGCCGCCGCCGCCGCTGGACGCGGTGCTGCGGTGCCTGCGCAGCGCGGGTGGTGGGGACCTACCGCTCGGCTATAGGTGACGGTGGGGCGGGGAGAAGGGGATGGGAGGCGAGAGGAGGGGCGGAACGGGCTGAGACGGAGCCGGGGGAGTGCGTGCGTGTGTGTATGTATGTACTGGGGTCGTCCCTTTAGGACTGGTGCTTGCGCTTGTCCCTCGCGCATGCGCAGCACGGTGCGGAGGACGGCCCCACGCACACCCGTGAGGGGCCCGGCCGCAGCCACGGGCTGGTGGGGCGGAACCGGCGGGGCCCTCCCGGGAGCTCAGCACGGCGGCTGCAGCAGCAGCAGCAGCAGCTGCAGTAACAGCCGCCGCCAGGCGAGCGCTGCCCGTTCGTGTGCGATGCCCGCCCCGGATGCTGGGTGTGGGAGGGAAGTTGTAGAAGACGGGTGACCGCACGCGTTTTTTTGGCTTCGATGCGCCCCCGATCGCTCCTGCGGTATGATTAAGCACCGTATCCGCTTGTCTGCGGTAGGTAGGGTGTGTAACCAAAGTAGGGCACCTCGCTGAGAACGAGCCGCTGTGGTGCACGGCGCCTTCCCGGCTGGATCCAGCTCGGGAGGCTGGTCCTGGGCACGGTCCCCAGGGCTGTTGGCCGGACGGAGATCTGCCCTCGAGTGTGCACTCTCACAAAGGGGGAATCCAGGATAGCGTGGTCCATCGTTATGTGGTAAAAGGCTTTTGGGTGCTTACTGTCATGAAAAAACAGGCAACTTACTGAGAGAGATCCAGATGGGAAGGTTTGGCTCTGCTAGATCTATTTCTGTCTTGCTTCAGTTTATGGTGGGAGAATGTCTGTTAAAACCCCTGTCACAGTTGGTTTGGGGACAAAGGTCAACTAGAATTTGTTAGGGACTTGCAGCTTTTAATTTTATACTAATAGGTTATAAATGTAGGCCGTAAGGCCTTCATACCATACCAGCTAAACTGATCTCATCAAAGCCAGATTTTTTTGTATAGACTATATTTTATTATGTTTTATATGTATCCAGAGTTTAGTTTATATTCAGGGGAATTAGTAGAGAAGAGTTGAAGGTGGTTGATAACTTGTCTTGTATCAACCACCAGTGGTCTGTTTGCGAGTCTCATACTACCTCCACAGCTAACCATCAAGCACCAGAAAAGGGTCCAGTTAGTTCTCTGTATGTGAATAACCAGGATCCAGTGTACTGCTGTAGTTTTGGCTTCTTTCAAAAAGCAGTGAGAACATGTGATGAGAACATGAGCAGCATTGTGTTCTCCTTGTAGATCATAGATACCGGTATTATTCCTGGTGCTGCTCTGTCTCTCAGGATGGAGCAGTTTGCTTGTGTCCTTTTCAGCTAATCTTTCTCCTGTTCAAATTCCTGCCAAATACACAGTGTAAGTACCTGCATAAATTTATATCTTCTGATTATTTTTTTTATATATATATAAATACTATTTATTGCCAATTCATACCCATCACTTGTCTAGGCTGGTTTCTGTCTTTGAACCTTTGATACTTGACTAATCAAGTGAAACACTTCATACTCTCTGAATTTGATTATGTCCTGCTACTGAGCAAGTGGGTGTTGTGAATAGAGCTGCAGTTTCACAACCTAAAATTGTCAGCAACCTCACTGGAAACAAGTACCAAAATCACTAGCTGGAGACCAGTTTGTATTCGCTCTTTCAGTGTTGATGTTAATATGGACAGAAGACTTTTGTTAATTCCCTAACATAGAGAGCCAGGATGTAAACAACGATGATGAGTGCTGCCATGATCATATAAACACTGAAAAGGCTTAGAATCTACTGTGGATGCTGCCTTGTTCTCCTACATTGGGTACTGTGGTCAGTCTAAGCATGATAGATGCTAAACTGCAGATGGCTTCAGATGTACTTGATTTAACGTTACATCTACTTCTCCCCTCTCTCCTCAAAGCCAGGAGGGTAGGTGGAAAGATTCAGGTCTGGCTTGGCTGTGTTCTTATAAGTGAAGGCCCAGTCTAAGATTGCTGGCTTGCTGCCTCAGCTTTGTATTGTATAAGCTATCCATAGGAGACAATTTGTTCCAAAACAGTCATGGTCTTCACCTAGAAGTTGTTCAACCTTGCTTTTACTACAGTTCAGCAATTTTAGCACCAGATGATGGGATTATCTGTTTTTACCTGTGTTCATTGCTGATATGTAAACTGTGTTGAGCGTTTGTTGGGGTTTTCTCACAGTCTCCCATTCAAGCTAAAAATGTCTGAACTAGTAACTTCTCCCTCTCACCTCCCCCAACATGTACTTGAAAACTTATTCCATTTTATCAACTCTCAATTATTTTAATTTTTTTCCAAATCTTCCACATGCCTGTTCATGTGACCTTAGTAGCAAAGGGTGTCTGTTTTCAGAGAGGATGCTCAAACAGAGCATGTTGACTGAGCTAAGAGAGATCCTTAATAAATGCTAGTGAATGGGTTGGTTCTTGCCACGTGGTATCATCAGACCATACCAATAGCTAAGGCTCTTCTCTGACTTAGCCAGGCTTTGTCCACTGCAATGGTCACTGTAATTCTCAGACTTTGCAGGCTCAGGTTTCTTCTATAGTTTTGCTTTTCTTTTCTTTCCAGTTTCATCTCCATCTCTGACCTACAGCGTCAGCAGTGCATGCCGTGCTGCAGCCACCTGACCTGGAGCACTAATGAATTTAAAGAATGGGCCCATCAAGGACACAGTGCTTTACCCACACAGAGCACTTTGCCAAGGACTTACCTGATCTTGGTTGGCTATTTAATAGATGGAAGGCAAGAGGACAATAAGAAGTTGGTAAACGGTTGCCTATACGTGAAAGACAATACTGGGATAATTCCATGTGAGGTATGTCCTCAGTTGGAGGGGTTCTGTGTTTATTTCCACTTCTGGGGCAGTGTTGCAGACCACCAGGGCCTTCAGATGGTCTGCTGAAGTCTGTAATGAGGGAAATAACACATCTATGTAATAGGCAGGAAAACAGCAAGCTCGGATCCTGGGAAGAGGACAGGATATGTTCAGTTTGTCATTGCTAGGAGAACAAATATTGAAAGCACAGTCCTGGGAAAAAAAAAAAAAACAACAACAACAACAACAAAAAAAAACAGCCTAATGTACAGTTGTGTTAAATTCTCAACAGTACGAAGTGACCTGGGAGACCTGGAAGTCACAGCGCTGCCTTCTATTTGTTGAATTCCAACTGGCGGGGAAGAAATAACTTTCTGGAGAGCTGTACTGGTTGTTCAGTAATGCACTGATGACATAGTTTCAGGAAATAATAGCTTGTGTGACAATTGAATTAAAAGCCTTCTGAAGGTCATTGCGAGGGGAGTCTAGATAAGAGGTAACCCCTGGAGTGGTGATGAAAGAGCACTGAGGCTGGGCTTTCTAAAGAGTTGAAGACAGAAAAAGTTACATTGGTACGAGCTTCTAACTGAAAACATGCGGGAAAAGAAAGCAGGGGAGAATTTTAGAAAAACAGTCTGAAAATAACCAAGTGTTGCAGTGAATTAATTATCACCTTGCTAGGAGGGTGTCACTATAGCCCAGGAAATGCTCGCTGTAGAGCTCAGCAAATTCAGATTTGCATCTGGAAGGACAGGAGTTCTCCATGCAAGGTAGGGGAATGGACAGACTGTCATTTAGTAAAGAAGCCCAGCAGCAGAACAAGCTTGTGATATGAATACAAGGGCAAATTAGCAATGAACATTCTAAGTAATGCTGAGAAAATATACTGTAACTTAACCGAAGCTTTTATCTTGTTATCTTTTGTCTTAGCTCCTGCATTTTGAACTTGAGTGGCTGGAGTCACTGTTCCTCTTCCCGAGTTGGTCATATATACCACAGACAGACCAGACCGCAGCAGGGTATGTGGAAATTCTGGTGGATCCAGTGCCTGTAAATCTCTCAGAGGAAGTACCCAGCAGCATTCCAGTCACCTGCCTGGCGTCAGCAGAGCCACTGCTTGCTTCCAGGTAAACACCCAGCATGCTCAACTCCCTCATAGCACTCTTGCTCTGGTTTGGCAGGTACCATGAAGAGCACTTGGCTTAGAGCCAAATTCTGTTTCTGCCACAGGTAGAAGCAGTAAGGTGAATGGTGGAAGTAATAGTTATACAATAAAGCTACTTTTCATTAATCAGTTGTTTTCCAAGACTTCACTGGAAGTTTTTATTCTGTGTTTTGACAAAATAAGACAAGCTTTAATTATTTCCAGATGTATTTTGATACTACAGAAAGGACACAACAACACAGTGATGATTCATCTTCCACTGAGGCTAAAATTCAGTCTTTCGATTAGCACAACTTTTTTTTTAAGCTACAGTGATCCAAAAGTACTATTGACAGTAATTCTAGATTCTAATGTGATATTAATATATACCACCAGTCAAGTTCTTATCAGATTGCTGAGACGAGGTGCCAGTTAAATGTCAGCTGATAAAGGTAACTGTTGTCTTCAGTGAAAATAATACTTACAGTATGCGAATATGTAGCCAATGGAATTGCAAATCTTACTGAAGTTCATAATTTCAGGTTTTGCTAGGTCATGTTTTGTGTTTCTTCTTCAGTAGAGAATTCTTAATATAATTTAGTAACAGTAAAATGTCACTAGTCAGGCTCCTTTAGTTTCTTTTTAGCTTTGTTTTAATTGTGTTTATCTGCTTGTGAGAAACTTACTTTAAGCTTAAGTGTTTGATTTAGCTCAACAGACCTTTCTAAACAAGAAAACTATTTCCATATTTCAGTGTACGCTCTCAGGCTTTTGACATAAAGCTCCTCTGCTACTTCCTGATATCTGACCAATTTTCCATGTTCCTTCTTTAAAAATGTTACCAGTAAAGTTTTGGTACTAGTGTGTGTGGATATCCTGGTATTTATCTTAAAAAGAGTCATAAAGTTAGGTAATTGTTTATATGTTTTAGAATCAAGAATGGATTTGTTTAGAGTAAGTGGGATGGTTATATTCAAGTCCAATAGGAGTTGAAATGAAAATGACAAATGAAATGACAAACATCTGCTTGTTTAAAATATATATTTTTTTTTATTGTTTGCATTGAAAGTTTGAAATTACAAAGAAAATGACTAAAGAAATGTCACCTCTCTCTCCTCTCATCTGCTTTCAATTTTGCTGCTCTTTTACACTGTGTCAAGTTTGTTAGGAAGACTCATTGTGGCTTCCAGGACTCTTTTGTTTATAGGCTTAGAGCTTCCACAGCATCACATACCACGGATCTGTAAAGCTGAGTTCTGTTTTCTGCTGAAGAATTGCTTGTGACTTTTCCCGTCCCGTCGTCGCACACCCCCCCCCCCCCCGTTTGACCTATAATTAGTTTCTTGTTTGTGGTAAAGCTTTTTATAATCTGGCTGTTGTCATGGCATACATGAATTCGTTCAACACAACCCTGCTGTCTTCAAATATTAAGGTTTTTTAAACTGTCAAAGGGATTTATTATATAAAAGTTAAAGTAAGGATTTTGTAGCCAAATATTGTTTTGAAAACCTCGCGGGGAGATGGTTCATGTTACTGTGTTGGCTCCTTTTTTTCCAGAAAGTGCATGCTGCATATTTGTTTATTTTGCTTATGAGATACTTTCAAGTTCTTCTTTCATCTCTGATTTCCTTTGCCTCCTTGTTTGCCCTCTAGGATTCCATGTAAGAAAAGATCAAAGCTCACTGTGGCAGGTGAATTGGTCAGACTTGGACCTCTCCTTTGTATTCACCAAAAGACATTCTTCTTTCTGTTTCTGAAGTGCTTCACCTCAGCTGTTTGGGTCCCTGTGCTGGTACAGGTAAGTCCTTGGAATTTTGCTCACAAATTCACCGTCTGTATCTGTGTATGTGCTAGCTGATTTGAAACTTGCCTTTGACTTCCTGGTTTTGATTTATTCCTCCTTTTACTAGCAATTTTTTTTTTTTTTTTTTAATTCCATGAAGACTACGATGGTCCTTGTATGTAAGAAGTCTAGTTCTATACCTTGCAGAAATACAGCCTTCCTCCCTCATGCAGTTGCAGTGTCCCTGAACATCTTGCAGATATTACCCTTTTGCTAAGAGTGTGAGGCAGTCCTCTCAAAGGAAGGGTTTTCTGGTTGGGGTTATCGGGGTTGGGGGAGAATATTTTCTGGTGCAGGAGTTGCTGATGTTGCTTTTGGTATCTCTGCTCTAGAAGCCCAACCAGCTGGCATGGCATCGTATTCTCCAGTTGGGTCACAGGTACACAATAACAGCCCTGAGTATGTCCAGCCTCAAATCTGGACAAAGGATACTTGTCACCGATGTTTCTTCCTGCCTTCTGCCCTACTGTGCAGAGCAGGTGAGGGAGCAGCCACTGGACAGTGCTTGGCAAGGAGAATCTACTCAGTCTTCTTCCCCTGAGACTGCTGAGCAGCTCAGTGACTCCTTTGAGCTGGGAGTTGAAGAGGAGAAACCAAAATCAACCAAAGAGTCCAAGATCATCTCATATGTGGTAAGGATTTGTAGGGTTAACCTTCACCCACTCTCGCTGTGGGATTTCAGCTCCTGGCCTGCGAGGAGAATTCATTTTATCGTGGATTTATTTCCTTATTGCTCAGGCCTAGGAGTCTCTTTATGTTCTGGGACTTTCTACACTCCTATAACTTCCTGTTTGCTTTCTATTTAGGGAACTGTCACCAAAATACTCAATGTCCAAGCTGGTCTCTTTTTACTGGATGACAAAGTCTGCTTGTGCCTTGCTTACCAGCAGATGTTGAACTCTGCACGTGGACTCCGACCAGGAGCGTGTCTAGAGGTAAGTTGAGACAAGGCATAACGCTTTCAGTGAAAAAGACTCAGACCCTGGGGATGGCTCATGAGCATGTGGGTGGACAGAAGTCTATGGGAACATTGGAATTATTTCAGCAAGTATCTGGAACAAAACTGGGGATCTTACTGTCTATGTTTGGTCATGAGAATCAAAATTATTATTATATGATTCTTTTCTAAGCAGTGCCAGGTTTCCCAGGCCCTTTGGGTTTATAGACTATCCAATAGAGTGACAATGGATTTAGGATGGTGTGATGGTTTTGGGGAGTGATGGCAGACTAGCTATCTCTTCTCTTAAGTTGTATGTCTGTGTATCTCAGCTCATCGATGTCCACCTCCTGCAGAAGCCTCTGGTATCCTTCCCTTTCATTGTACTTGGTGCTTGCCTGAGTAGCACTGTTGTGCTGAAGAGCTTTTCAAGGCTCAGCACCCCCTACCAGCCACCAGCCACTTCAGGAAATCTCTACCTGCAGCTGCTCTTCCACTACAATCTTGATATGCCACTCTACCTCTGGCTGGTGAGCCTCCTGGAGACATTTGAGGAGAGGTGAGGACAGTTCTTCTGAAGTCAGGCTATGTGTAAATGTACTTTGTAGGTTACCTGGATGTCTTCTAGACTAAGGGTTCACAAAATTACTGTGCTTGGATACTAATAGCAGCAGCAATTGCTTCTGGTTTACTGGCCTTAGTAAGCCATTCATCTAGATTTCGTGTCATGTCCAGTTGCTTGTACCTTGCAGTTGCTCTTATGAGAAAATCCTGTACATTTTTCAAGTGCATTTTGAGCAAGCTCACTGCTCTAGGGAAGCTGCAGCACTCCAGGGCGTGTGCTCACATACCCCTGCCTAGGAAGTTTTGTCCTGAAATACGGAAGCACTGTAGGGATGCCTGCTGGCCAATGTGGTTTGTTTGGCCAGTCAAGGTGGGCACTGAGGCCGGAGCTGGAAACTGCTGCTATAACCAGATCACAACTGATGTAAAGGCTCTTGTGTCCTGGCTGCTCACAGGAGCAGCAGTAGCTGCTTGGTATATCGCTTTGAAATATTCTGAGTATTGCCAGTAGTGTGCACATTTGTTTGAGAGCCTCTGTCTTGGCAGGTATTCCCACACGTGCTTATCTCTGGGTCCTCCAGATGGCTTCCTGCTCTCTGTGGTGGCTGCACGCTGTTCACATGCCAGCTGTGGACCAGTTTCTGGGTTTACTTCTGGGTTCTGTTAGTGAAAATATTTGTGCTTGCTCTGGAATAATTACGGTTGATCACTGTAACTGCTGCCTTGGACTTTAAAAACTAAAATGCATATATTCAATCTCGGGCAGTCAGGTAGCAGATTATAGAATGCTCAGTCTTCCTGTGCTTTACTGGCACTGCGGAATTTTTACCATGCTTTCCAATAAAACAGCTTCAGTTTTGCCCTGGGAATGCTGCTAGATATGTTTCAGTTTTATTAGCTTTTTCACTTTCTTTCAATGTGATTGCTAATTCCTGCTACTGCTTGAAAATTGTTCGAGTGAGTTAGTTGCCGTCTCTTTTTATTTGAGTTCACTTTATGTTATTAAGTCATATTTTGACTTGCAGTGTGATCGCCTCCAGGCAATCAAAAGCAGTGAGCTAAACTTCTGTCCTTGTTTTGTCTCATGATTTTTTGCATCCTGTAAAAAAAAAAAAAAAAAAAAAAAAAAGCCAAGTACACCTAATATGAGTAATCATATAAAGCTTAGCCAAAATGCACAGCCATCCATTTGTGTGGCTTAGAGGGAGACTATTTACAGGTGATGTGGGTTTTTTGTCCACTTGAGTTTTGAGATTTTGCCATTTTGTCCATTTCTGTATATTTTCCTGTTCCTTGTCTGCTTGCCTGACATAAGTCTGCATTGCCTTTAAATGTTCCTTTTTTTCATCACTTCATGTTCTTTTTGTGCTCTCCTTAGTTCTTGTCCTGCACAGCACATTCACACATAACAAGCAGAAAGAATCCCTGACTTACTTGCAAAACTCACCAAAAAGTGAGGACTGTTAATGTTTTTAACTGTTGTAATTTTTTTCAGGTTTTCTTGTTTCTTTGGGTGCCGTCGACTAGCACTTAGTTCTGCGCACCAAAAACCTGGAACTGCTGAGAAGTTCCTTGTCCCTCTTCTGCAAGCTGTGATGCCGTATAAAAAAGAAGCAAGAGATGTTTATAATGAAATCCTGGAAAAAACGCATCAGTGTCCACTGCAAAAGGTGAGTAAATGCTCTGTGAACTGTTTCCTGCTTGTCTGATGGGAAGAAACTCCACTGGTTCATTCTTTCTTTCTTTTTTCTTAGTATCTGACCCTGAATCCCCCATGCCAGGCCCCATCTCTGTCTGTAGCTTGCCGTATGGCAGAACAGAAGAGCTGGGAAGGCTTCAGTCCATCACAGCTGCTCTCCCCGTTGGAGGCACAGCACATGGGCACCCAGGAGCTGAATCGCAGACTGGCCTGGTCCTACTGCACGCTCTCAGCAGGAAGTTTCCAGCCCCGCCTGGTAAGTGCCTTGTTCCCTTTTCTGTATGTTCCTTGGGAGTTCCTGGTTCTTCCCATGCCTTCCAGCACTGTCTGATGCATGCCTGCCCCTTCTGTTAGGGAATGACACTGCTTTTCTCATCTGTGGTGTGTTGAACGCAGGCTGGATTTGGGCTGCTGCCTTGCCTTCAAAGATGGGAAGTGTTTGATACTCTTTGCAGCTTGCTTCCTTGCTGTTCCAGATACTGCTGGGTGTGCTGAGAGTCTCCTCAAGGAGCGGTTCCCTCCAGCTGCAGGACAAGAGCAGCACTCTTCCTTGCGTGATATCCCATAAGGATGGTAGCCCCTTTGCCAATACAGCTCTCGTAGGTATGTCCCACTGAGCTAAATTTGAGAGTGCTGAGCTTTTGCTGTTCTGCCATTCAGCTCCAAAACAAGGAAGAGAAGACTTGGTGTGGAGATGCTGAACTGTCATTGCCTGGCCTCGTGACTTTAAAATGAGGAAACTGAGCTTACTGTTTTTATGTTCTCTTTTTGTTAGCTCAGCTCCTTTCTCTGATGTGTTTGCAGGATCGCTCTTGCAGGTGGAAAATTACCAGCTTGTAGTGGAGAGATTCCTTCAGAGTGATTTTCCTTCCTGGGAGCACCTGGCAAATCTGCAGCATGTGAGGGAGAAAAAAAACAGGTGAGTCCCTTTATTCAGTGTACAAATAAAATCATCACTCTCCAGTTCCACAACTATTTTTGACTATGGTAGAACTGCTTATTAGCATAGTATTTCAGTGCCAAAGCAACTGTCCTTTGCTATTTGCAGAAAAGGAGACCTTTATCAGCAACAAACCCACCATCTCCATTTTGTTCAGTATACACCCAGCCTGGTAGCTACCCCCTACTTCACCCTTTCCTGCTGCTCCTGCTGAGTACCTGCAGGGCACTCACCAGAAGTGCTTTTCCCAGATGACTGCTTGTTTCAGAGAGCCACCTGTCAGGAACAGGGAGTTTCACTGCTACCATTTGTTGTTTCAGTGTCTATGTGCAGTTCTACTTTGAGGATGTTCAGGTTCTCCATGCTGCCAAAGGACAAATCCAGAAAGGCCTTAGGAGTGGAAACAGCTCTTCCTTGAGGATGAAGGATGATGGCAGCTTAACATCTGAGCTGGAAACCCCAAAGGCAAAAATGCTGAAATTGGAGGATCCCAAGCCAGATACTCACAGAGAGGAGAACTGTCAGGGGGGCCAGAGCAGCACTGAAAAGACCAGCTGTGTAGCTCGCCTATTCTTGGTTACCCAGAAAGAGGGTCTTATGTTACGCAATTACCAACTACGCAGAGAAGAAGATGGAGAAGGACGGGAGCTGCAGTGCAGTTTTCAATCCACAGTGCTGTGGCTGGGCAGACCTCGGCTCTGGAGCCACCCCAGAGAAATCGGGAATCTATCAGAGCTGGAGGAGACTGACTGTGATGGAGAAGAGAGCCTGACACAGCAAGAAGTAAGGCAGGAGGTAGCTTTGGGGTGTGGTTTGATAAATCTGGGAGCTGGCTCCTCAGGGAGCCTGTGCGATAATTATCTAGATTCCTAATCAGTGGGAAAGTGATTTTTGTGTTGGATACAGATGTATGTTTATGCAGGCAACTCCCTTGTGCCACTCCAAGGGAGTTCTGTCTCTCTGTCATCTTCCTGTAAATGCATCCACCTTCTCTTACCCTTGATGGTGCTAACCTTACTTCTCAATCAAGACATCCTCTGCTGGGTTTGTTCTCTTCTTGCTGTATTTTTCATTTCCTACCTTTTTCATAACATTTCTTATCACCTTTTCTTTCTCTCCTCCCCTCCCCTGCCAGGTACTACTGCTCTTTATGGGGAAATCTCTACGATGGTTTCCATTTCTGCACCTGGATGGACTGTATCACTTCATTGTGCCCTGCTGCTCGGTAAGAGAGAGGTTGTCTTCCTGTATCTTCTTGGAGTCTTTTGCTGAACTGCGTGTGGAAGTTGGAGTCAGAGGGTGGCTAAGCTCTTTTCAAGGCTTGGAATTCCCATCTGTCTTGTCAAGGAACTTCTGTGGTTGCTTAAAATTCTCAGAGCTCTGAGTTCAGTGGATTTTTTTTTTTTTTCTTTAAACCATTGTCCTTCAGTGGCCCTTTTTTCCTATATAGCTTTCATCTCCTTCCTGTAATAGTCTTTTTTTTCTTGCCTTATCGCTCTTCTCTCAGGACTTGGAAGTGTTTGACAAGCTCTGTTTTCCACCTGTGCCATCAAAGTTCCTGAGCAAGTCATCCTGCCCGCTGTGCCTGCCTGTCCAAGATACCTGGCACCTACAGCACGAGACATGGATCTCCTGTCTGACTGAGCGCCAGGTATGCAGTGCCTTATTGCTCTGGGCTTTCACAGGTGACCTGTAGATCTCTCTGGAACTAGCCAGAAAATTACTGATACTCTTGTTTATGAGACCATTCTGCTTTAAGCTCCATCAGAGCCTGCTCCTGGGCTTCATATTTTTCCTGTCTCAGAATTAGGCTGGGGAGGAAGCATCAGTTGCTTGACATAGCTCTAAGCATGCAGAGCTTGCCTCTACTGCTGGGGGTAGCTATAAACTGCAATCCATCTGAGTCTGTGTCTCCCCCCACTTCTAGCTGGCAGCCAGGTCAGTGCTGACAGGCATGGACCAGAGAATTTCCTCCATTCCAGAAGTACTTAGCAACAGGTATGTTGGTCTGCCCCAAATTACACGTGGCCGTGTCTTAGGGAATGGATCTGTCTTCATCTTTATTGGAGACAGGACTGCATTAAACAGCGATGAGTTATCCACCCTAGGAATATGGTTTGGAAATCTTCCTATGTGCAAGTAGTCCAGACTGCCCTCATGCTGTTTATCAAATCTAAAGGGATTGCAGGTGACAAGACTGCAAAATGGTGCCCAGAAGAAGCTTGAGCTGCTACTGGCGTGGACTAGGTCCCAAAGGTCTCTGCTAAATTCCTGTCAGAAGAAGAAACAGGCACAGCAGGGAAAATGAGGCTGAATGTGTGGTGGCTTTTGATTGTTCTAGTGTAAACAAATACTAGGGCTAGAAGCTTTTCTGCTCAAAGCATGTTTAATATGGGGTGATATGTATGCACATGGAAATCTTCACCAGTGCCTTATGGTAGACTGAAGTTTTTTTCTTTGCTTGGCTTTTTCCTCTAATTAAGAAAAACAGTTAGGAGTTGAGCACATAGGAAGGTTGTAATGCCTCTCCCTTTTTATTCTTCATTGCTGAGCCTGAAGAAGCAGAAAGCAAGTTAAAGGGGCCTCTTGTTACTGGGTGGGATAGGCTGCAGCAAGCGGCTCTCAATCCAGTAGCTCAGGTGCTCAAGGGCAGGTTTCCTTGAAACCGGGCTCAAGTAACAGCACTCCAAGATTGCCACAAAGGACAGGGTGAAGTCAAGCCTTCTTCCACGCCCCTTGTCTTCAGTCTGTACACAAATCCTGGTCTGCTCTCTCAGTTTCACAGGTTCCCTTGTTTCTTTCTCTGGTGAGATAGTGGAGAGGACCTTGTGTGCCTCTCCCAAGAATGAGAAGCCCTCTGTGACTGTTGGCCTTCAAAAGCAGAAAGGTAAGATTGTGACAGCCTGTAAGGTACCAGCAGATTAATTCTTGCTTCTTTCTCTTTCAGAGAGACAGTGCACTTGGCTAATTGTGTGTCTAAGAATAGTGGAAGTATGCCAGGCTGTTGCATCCCATTGCATGTCAGAGGGCTGTACACTGCATGTGTGTTGGAAATGAGAATAGTGTACCTGGAAAATGTGTGAGATGGAACAGTGATAGCCTCATTGTGATGGGAGAGAAAACACCTCTAGCAGGTCCAGCTCAGTGACAGACTATGCTACCTGTGTGTGAGCTCATGGTGTGTGTGGTTCTGTGCCTCCTCAGGGAGTCTGCTAGCCCGAGATCACAGCCTGAAGCTCAGCGTCTCAGTTGCTCCAGACTCGCCCGCTGTGATGGACATTTACATTGCTGCCTCCTATCTGCAGCATCTCCGGGGTTTGCTACCTGGAGCCAAGATCCTCTTCCAGAAATTGGAACGCAAAATCTCAAGGTACCCCTGTCTTCAGAGCCCTGATCTAGGCCACAGCTCTGACCTCTCTCTTACTGTCTTTGAAACTCTCTTAATCTCTCCTCTCGTGGCCTTTCCTCATCCCTTGTCCATACCTTCATGTCACCCAAACCCAATCACTTACTACAAATTATTTTCTAACCACGTTACAGATGACGATCAGTCCAGCCATCCCAAGAAAACTGAACGGTTTGGTTTCTACAAGCTCTTTCTGACATCCACTCTTTTGTATTGCAGATTCCATAATGTTTATTGCACATATATTGCCTCCAGCTGCGTGAGCATCATATCTCTGCCAGCTTCTCACCTACCTTTTCCTTCCAGGTGAGTTCAGGGTCTGTTCCCACCTTCCAGTGTCCCAAGAAAGGTTACCGTTTTCCAAAGTTCTCACGTTCCTTTCTTCTAGTCCTGCAGGAGAAGCCTCATCCCCCTCACTAGTGTTTCTATCCAGCCTGCAACCTCACCTGCAAAACCCGCCCCAGGGACGGATTTTATGCCACTTGTCCTGTGTACAGACTCTGTCCTTGCAATGGGTTTGCTCACTTTGCAACAGCATCTTCAAAGAGGTATTCAAGCTTCCACTGAGAGAATTTGTGAGAAGCCTTGCAGTTTTTCTACTCTGACACATCCTTTGCTACCACGTAGAAAAAATAAGAGTTCCAATCCCAATTCCAAAACCTCTTTTTTCAGTGTTTGAAAAGGACTTGCATGGACCAAAGTGACGAATAATTAGAAGTGTGTATCTGATATCAGGCAGGCTGGCAGCTAAGACTGGGGGTGAAGTGAGGACACCGAAGGGGAGACTCCTACTCTGTTAATGCTCTGCTTTTCCCATGTTCACTGCTGTTGGGGTTCAGCACCTTGCAGCAAGTGATTTTTCTCCCCATACCAACTTCTCTCAAGACACTTATTGGAAATGCACTGAAGTTCTTTAATCCTTTGCATACTTAGTTAGGGGAGGGTTAAAAGAAGTAGTGGCCCTTCCCCTTCTCTCTTGCACCTGCCCATACAGAGCTGTAGCTTTACTCTTCCTTCAGGGGAGGTGTACACGACACAGTCCACCATGTCCATCACACACAGGAGTGAGGCAAGCCAGTGCACGGTAAGCACTGTAGAGATTTGGTATGGGATTTGGTGGGTAGAAGGGAACAAATTACATCGCAAAGGGGAGGGGAAAATCCAGTCAAGGATGGAATGTGGACAGGACAGCAAAGACAGCAGTTTAGAGTAGTCGTGTCTTCCCAGATGTGAACAAACTCCCTCTCTCTTTACTGTTGTCTGGGATGTGACTCCTGTGAGGGAGCAGGCGTGGTCCTGACCTCTCTCTGCATCTTGGTCTGCCTGCTCTCTCCATAGGGTGCTGGTGGAGGATGGAACGGGTGAAGCTTTGGTCCTGTGCAGGAACCAGCATGTGGCAGCAGTGCTGGGCCTGAGCCTTCTCGAGTGGGAAGCTCTGCAGAACTGTGTGCAGAGCAGGGGCAGAGTGTCCGTTCAGCATGGGGAAGCTACTGGCACAGGGGTGAGTGGGTTATTCTGGCAGAGATGGCAGCATGTTGGGCTCGAGCCTCAGCTGGACTGGATTTCCCTTTGCTGTGGGTGTTCCAGGGACTCCCTGCCTCCCTCTACACCTTCACTGGCAACACACCCTTTCCTTCCTCAGTGTGTAGAGGAACCCGAAGATCTCATTGCTTGCTACCTAAGGAGCTTGTGCAGGAGTCCTCTCATCTGTCGTCCTATCCTACTGGATTTCAGCCTAAACAGGAAGCCTTCCAAGATCCTGCAGCCTGGTAAGCAAGCACTGCTGGCTTTTGTAACGCTTAGCGTGGGAAGGAAGGGAGGAGCCATCTCATCAGGCTGGGGAAGAGGAGCTGCCTTCACTGCCCGCAAAGCAAGGTCCGTGGAGGATTTCCATGGAATTGTGAATTCTGTAGTATAGAGGTATCTTAGCAGAACCATGGTTACAAGAATACAGAAATAATACTCTAAAACTCACTGTCTACAACAATGTTATACGTAAATTTTTCTACTTTACAAAGAAGCACAGAGCTGGTTTAGAGCAAGGTTCCCACTCCTTGCATGAGACAGGATTCTGGCCAGCCAGAGTTATTGTGCAGACCTCCCAAATCAAGTGGATTTTGACTTTAGACAGGACAGCAGGTAGAGTCAAGACTAGGCCTGGAAATCCTCACCATGGCCACAGAATTTGAAGTGCTGAAGAGTTTTGAATTCGTGGTTGCTGGTGTCTGAGCTCATGCTACTGCAACCATGCAGCCCCTGTGTTAAGGGAACATTCTCCTTAGCTGCTTGCACTGACACTAGTGCTTGAGTATGAGTCCAGGTGCTGCAGGGGTTGATTTGCTAAGCTCACCAGAACATACCCTGCTATGGAGACATTATCTTTTGGCTAACACTGTAAGGCCAGTTTGCTGATAGCTGATGCCCTGAGCTTTATATCTTCTGTCGCTATGTGAGCAGCACAGAATTCATTGTTTCACAGTGCAGAATGTCTGTTTCCTCCAAGTTGGAGGGAAGCTGGCCAAATGTGTTCATCTGCTTATATCCTGGATTCCTTAATCATGCTGTCCTTGGAGGTTTAGCAGATGCCAAGCAGCTGCTGCAAGGCCTTCCCGCCCCCAGCAGCTTCTACAGCTGTGTGCTGGAACAGAGCAGGAGCCTTGCACTGTGTTGTTACAAGCTGTATCTTTCCTCTTCAGCTCCATTGCAGCTGAGAAATTTTCGCTGTGGTGAGATGGAGTTTGTGTCGCAAGTGGGACCTCGGCTGAGCCTGCTGTGCCTGAATGTGGAGGAAGTGGCACAAGACACCTTAAGATACCTGAACAGTGAGAGGATTAGGAGGATATCTAGTCACTGCCAAGTGGGAGCCACTGTTTAACATCTCTCCCAGTGGGAGAGGAATTATGGAAATACTTACTGGGCTTGGGAGCTTTTTTTGATCTCCTTTCCAGTGGGAGGACAGGCCTGTGAGCACAGGGTGAAGAGTGCAGTCAAGAAGCTGCTGTGACTTGTGGAATTCCTGAATGAATGGGCATTCAAACCATTGCCACCAGCAGTACTGGGCTACATTTTGGAAGAGAGATGTTCAATACTTCCTACGTGATAACGGTTGCTTTGGGCCTAGGGCATACATGTGTGCAATATATGTGGTGTTATCTACTAAATAAAACTATTAAAATACTGTTTAAATAATGCTGTGTCTATTGTAGTATTAGGGTTTACTTCGTATATGGGGAATGAGGTAGAACGTATATCCTTGGTTTACGAGCCAGAGCCAGGCATTTTGCAGATCATTCGCTGTCTTCAAGCAAAACTGTACAATTGCCACAAGGGACAGTCTTCTTAATAGAAATTATTAAAATGGTGTTTTTAAAGCACTTTCTTCCTCCAAGAGGAGAAGGGAAGTTACTGTTTGGAAACTAAATCATGGTACGAATTCATGAGACTATACGGACATTATTCTGGAGCTTAAGCAGTGGCCTGAACGTTACATGGGGCTGGTAACAAGAGGAAGGCAGTGAGCTGTGGTACAAATTCGCAGCATGTTACAGGCTTGCCCGTCTGTTCCTGATCAGGAAGGGGATGATCTCAATGCCACGTGCCAGTAGCCACGGTGGCACAGCAGACTAACCAGTACAACATGTGGGAGGTCACTAGTTGAAGAGATCCCTCTCCCATCTGCTTGCAATGACGACCAAGTGTTCTGCACTTGCTTTTTGGCAAAATAACATCCAGATCCTTCATCTTGTGCTGTAGGTTAGTAAATTACACTCCCCCACCTTATTCCATGTGCAGAGTATTTGAACAGCTACTCTGTTTTGGGTTTTGTTTGTTCAGTGTTTCCCCCTGCCTTTCTGCTTTTGCCCTTAGTTTGAACTTTATATTAAACTTCAGGTGGTGGGTTTACTGAGCGTGTGGATTTTCCCTCTCAAGGCCTGCTGGTTGCTTCTAAGACCAAAGCATAAGTCGTACAAGAACTGACAAATGCTACCGTTGAACAAAGTTCAGAGACTCCATCCTTATGAAGGTTGTCAAAACAGCTGGAAGCAAAGGCCTACACAAGTTTTGCTGTGACAGTCTTTTTTTTGTGTAGGTACTTTCTGTAAAATGGTAACAATTTTGCTAAAGCTTGCCTTCCACCCTCCCCAAAGAAAACAAAAACAAACAAAAAGGCAAGCAAAATCCTCTCAGACTGAGGAAGATGTTGACTCTAAGTGATGTAAATTAAGAGATCAAAATCTGATGTAAAAGTGCAACTGAAAGTAGTTCTGTACTATGAATAACATAATACCAGACAGAAATAGATAGGAAGTGCCAGATAACAGAAAGTTACTTAAAAACAGAAAAGGCAAATTCATCCTTCTAGGTGTAACTGTGTAATAACTGTTTTTATTTCTGAATTTGAACTTTCTAGTAGTATCTTACTAGTCTTTCTCTTTTCCTCATTATGTATGTTATTCTTCTGTCTGCTGCCACACTTACAACTCACCAGTTCCTCTTATTTCACATTATCAATGCAATCATTAGTTCTCTTATAGGCTGTTTGTCAGGTTGAAGACCTAACACTTATTCCAAGCCTGTTGGCTGTTTTCTAATCCATCGGTGTTTTGCCATTCACATCTTTTTCAGAAGGAGAGTTTGACTAGTCTTCTGAGAAGACTGAATAGATTAACTGGCTCTCTTATTTACAGTTTTATTAGTACATTCAGAGAATGACAAAACATGAGATGGACAAAGCAGTCTACTTGGGGGGGAATTAAGATTTTCTTGCTTTTAGTACTCTGAGTTTGAAGGATCAGTTCTCAGATGTATTGCAGGAAACCTTTTTCATGTTTGTCTCTGAGCTCCCATGATCAGAGTTCTGGTAACTGGGTTATCTCTTCAGACAAGAGAACACATCTTGTTCCTGTGATCAGAGTTTTTCCTTTATTTATGCAACACTCCTTATCACATTCCTCAGCCTCTTTCTGAATCCAAACAAAGTATCCTGTTGTTGGCATGGGTAAAAAATGATAATACAAGAGAAATCAGCTGGCTTCGTGTTTGTGCTACAACATGCTCTGGAGCTGGGAGGAGCTCTTAAAGTTCTCAGCCCAAGAGGGAGGAAAGCATGAAGCATGTCCTGCCGTCAGGATAGCTGTAGTAACTGTTCTGTGTGGAAAGAAAGAGATGTCCCTTTAGCTGATTTTCCGTGGCTCTCTACTTCGGCACCAGAACCTACCAGCCAAAGCTGATAAATACTAAAGGCAGTTGTCCTGTGCTTTGAGTGTTTACAGCCCTCTTTATTCCAGGTCTAGGTAGGATTGCTCAGGCTGGCAGCTCCTTCTAGCCCCGTTCAAGGTGTCCATAGTTGGTACTGCACTGTGCAGTGGAGTTGTCTGAACAAAGCAGGTGCAAGCAAGGCTTGTACTAGAGCAGGCCTCATCAGGAGGGAGAGGAAGAAGTCCCCACTGCCTTGCAGCCATGAACTGTAGCCAAGGTTCAGAGGGTATGCAGAGCAGCAAGACATCTGTCTTTCGGATCAGAGAGAAGGTTGAGGAGGGAAGGAAAAGAAAATGAGGGGACAAGTAAGAGATGACAGTTGGTAGTGTAAGAGAAGAATCTCTGAGACTGCAGAAAGCGATGGGAGAAGCCATCAGGGAGCCTGTGGGAGGGATAAGCCATGTGTCTCACCTAAAGCTGGGGAAAGGATGGACATATGGAAAAGATGCTCTCCTATTCTGACAGGATGGAGATAGATCATCTGCTGTAACCAAACTCAGCAAGAGGGGCTATGTATACTTATACTGAGCATATATGCTTATGAGTTTCCCTTCCCAAGCTTACCTCAAGGTCCAGAAGTGTTTCTGATTGTTTTATAGAGGCTTTTATATTGACAGCAGATAGAGGGGAAGCAGAAGCATCCAGTGACAGGCTGGAAGGGAGGAGGACATTGACTCTGCATCCAGGTTCACCAGCTGCAAGTTGGTCCCCCTTGTAATGCTGAAATCTGTAGCAGAAGAATAGTGAGAGGCTACCAGAACGGGGAACACAACAGGGAAGGCAAAATGAGTGTGCTTGTTTATTCCTCCCCATTTTTCTGAATGTTGATAAAGATAGACCCTGCCCCTTGTGCTGGAGACCTACGGCTGTGAAGCCCTCGTTGTAGAAGAGCTGTGACCTTTCTCATGTAGAACAGGAGAAGGTATTCAGGCTATTTGGAAAGTTTGCTTTCCTGTGAATAAGGTGGCCTTTTAAATAAAGGAGGTGGGCTGGAGTCAGAGCGACTGTCATTAGTAACAGCTACAGGGGCCTGTTGCTTTGGCACACAAAAGGGATCTTAGCCAAACTGGCTAAAGAAAGTGTCAAAAGTTGGGGTTTTAAGCTGGAAGGTTTGCTTTTGCTTAGCAACCAAAGGAATACATTCTTTTGAAGTGTGTCCGTCCTTCCTTCCCTTCCTTCCCTTCCTTCCCTTCCTCCCTCCTTCCCTCCCTCCCTTCATCCTAGGGACACAGAGAGGGGCCAGGATTAGCCATGGATTTCAGTCCCTTCCTTGACTGAAACCACTGGCTGACACAGGGGAGGCGGTACTGCAGGAACCCCCTGATGCACACAGGTGCATTGTTTAAACCCTCTTCTCCCCGCGCGCCTGTGGTCTCTGGGTGGTGTTAAACTCTACCTGTCACTTTGATGTTGCCCGTAGCCTTGGCAATGTTGTTTTCAATCACACAGGTGTAGGTGGCATTAGCAGTAACGTTGTGCAGGAAAGAAACCACTTTCAGAGTGACGTTTTCAGCGTTCAGCTCGTAGCTGGTGTTGGCAACGTGGGGCAGGTGCTCCCCAGCGTCGCTGCAGGCGGTCCAGCGCACGGTGGGTCGAGGGAACCAGCGTGGTGCCTCGCACTGCAATGTGTCCCCGCTGCTGCTGTTCTCCACGCCGACCTTGGGGGTGCTGAAGGCTTTGGGAGGGAAAAACAGAGAGAGAGAGCCAGAAAAAGGCAAATGTCTAGGAACCGGGCGTGAAACACTCAACTGCATCTGCCGGTCAGTCCCAGGTATTTGTAGGGTACCTGCTGCTTGGCATCGGAGCCACCACATGTAGGCAGACCAAACACAGGCTCAGACAGAGGTCTTGTACCAGTTGGGGTACAGGGGATCTAAAGACTCCCAGGACAAGAGCTGCTGAGGTCGTGGCACAGCTTTAGTGTCTTTAAGTGATTCTGCTTAACAGTTACGAGCTGTGTCCCGGGCTCATAAACTAAGCCTTTCCCAAGAGCTCTTGGACATCCAGGCTCCCAGAGGAGCCTGGGCTCAGAACCTGGCTGGCCTGTGGCTGCCTGAGTCTGCTGAACACCTGGCTTCCCTGGGCGGGAGCTGCAGGTGGCAGACCTCCACTCACCTCTGCTGAAGGTGGGTGGCTGAAAGGGGGCACCCTCTATTCTCAGCAAGGGGAGGCATGCCGAAAACAAACTGCTGTTATCAGAGGCTGGGGGAAGGGGAAGATGACACCGTCTCCACTGACCGAGAAGGGAGCTTGACCAACACCTACAGCTTCATGATGTGACTCTGACACTAAAGGGGACTGCAGCCAAGGGAAGCTGTGCACGGACCCGCTGGGGCTGAGGGCAGACTAAGGTGTGCCCTGAGCTGCAGGATTTACACCAGCATCCCTGGATTAAACAAAAAGTTTAAAGCCTATTGCGAACTCATCTGTGTTTTAAAGCCAAGGCCATCTCAAATAAAATTTTGTTAGCCTTGGTCTCTGTATATTCATCATGTTTCCCACATGCACATATGTGAAGAGAAACAAAAGGTTCTTAGGAAAGCAGAGCTCACAGATTTTAACAGAAATAAAACCTGATGCAGCATTTCACGTGTTGTCTCTAATGCCTTTCCTGTGTGGATCACTTAAAACATTGAATCAAGCAACACAAAGGCAGCCAGATTCACATGGTTTCAAGGAGGGGTAGGAGACCAAATCCCCGCAAAACTTAAGCACACCCTAGACACGAGCCAAAGCCCTCTGGCCTCGCTGCTGTCTACTGGTAGTCCCAAGCAGCGTTTCCATCCTCGCCATTGCAAGATAAGGGGCCTGTGAGCCCAGCAGCCTTTTTTTCCCCTGATTGGAAAGCGCTTCACATATCAACAGGGCAGAAAACACTCTTTCAAAAAGAAATGGGAGACTGTGAGTTGACACTGGCCTGTGGTGTTGTTCCTGTGACACTACCTTTCTGTCCCAGGACGGGCTCCCTGTAAGTGACATGGGGAAGCGGCTGCATCTCCAAGACAGCTGCCACAAGTGTCTGCACAGAAGCTGGTGCCCACCTCCTGGTGCTTTGGCTCTGGTGGGCCAAAGGAGGAGATTGAACCTGCAGAAGAGCAATCTGCCTCATTCAAGAGCTCTGCTGGTTACTACTGCCCTGCCAGGACTGGCCTGAAGCACAGAGGAGCCTCCCACACTGCCGCTATGGCTGGCCTCACCACAAAAGTGGTCACCCATCTTAAAACTGCATTTCCTTGACTTGGAGAGGTCTGACAGTTTTTCCTCTCCCAACTTGAGCTGTTAGGCTCAAGGGATCAAGGGATGTGCTGGGACTTCAAGAATGCCAGCAGAAACTAGCCAGAGAAATACTACCTCCCTGTGCAGGCTCACCTTATCCCCCTTGTATAGCCGGTGTAACTCACCACAATTCATTAGAAAGACCCAGAGGTGACAGAAACGGGTGAAACACTGCTGTGTTCAGTGGGAGCATATTGCTCTGTGCCAGTGGTGAACATGATGGCCAAGCCCAGAGGGCTCAGAAGAATTGAGCTCCCACAAGTGACAATTCATCTGCGTCCATGCATCTCTTGAGGTTGACCCATAATAAGGTGAACAATCAGCTCTAGCATGTTACACAATACATCACACAATACATCAGATAACTATGATGTGGGCTGTTTGGTGCTTTGCTAGTAATTTTTAAAAAACTGAATACATTAGAAAAACAGAAAAAAATACTACATAGGCTACAATTTTTACTGTGCAGCACTTCTCCTGGCTGGAGATAGCTCTTAATTCTATAGAGAAAAAGCTATCATTTTATAATATGTGTAAATATGGTATAAAATCTGGATCTTTATAAAACCAGTTAGTTACTCCCATTCTTAAGGGTTCTTTGTAGTCAGTTAAGTAGCTGATAGAATACCTGTGGTAAGTAGAAGAAAAAAGACAACTGAGAGTATTAAAATAATAATCTTTTCTGGAACAAGGTTGTGTAAAGAGTGGGTAAGGCCATAAACACCTCTGGAAAAGTAAAGGAAAAAACTACTCCACTCCTCCTCAGGGATTCAGGGCCTGATGGTGGCTGCTGGAAGAGTGGGCGCTGCTCACACAGCCTCTAGCATCAGCGTAACCGCGGGTAGGACGGACCAAGCCCCGTTACCCTGCTTTTTGCAGCAGGATTTTCTTTCTGGTACCCCTCACCTCCCGTCCTGTACCGCACCACTGCTGCTCCGCTCCCTCTGGCCGTGGTGACGGAGCACTGGTAGGTGCCAGCGTCAGAGAGCTGCACATCCCTCAGCTCCAGGGAAGCGTTGCCGCCAATCACCTGGTCTGCAAACACTGCTGTGCGGCCCTGAAACAACGCGTCTTGCTCTTGCAGGTGGTCCTTCCCACCTTTAAACTCATGAACCAGCCCAGCTACTCCTGCCTTGGCCCACCGGATCACTATGCTGCCCATCGGGATGTCGGGCTCGAAAGTGCAGCCCAGGACGCTGCGCTGGCCAATGTTCCCCGGGGACGTCAGCGCTGTCACGCTGATGGAGCGTTTTCCTGCAAGAAGAAAGCAAGGCGGCGTGAGAAAGGCAAGGCGGTGGGCGTGGAGGAAGGCCAGACCGCTCTGCAGCTGTCAGGCACCAACCCCAAGGCTGAACAGGCACCGGCACATCGCAAGATCACCAGCAGTAGCTGCCAGTGCCACTAGCAGAGGTCAACTCCCACAGCTTATATACCAAGATAAGGCACAGGAGCATTTCTTTAGCAGGCAGCATGCTTCAAAAAGTAGCTCCTCTTATTTGTTTGAGAAGAATTTGCACGATGTTTTCTTGCTTCCTTATATGTATCAGGGATTTTTCTCTTTGCAGCTGCCATAAGAGCATGATTTTTGTGTCTTCTCTTAGTCAGGACCTCCCTTTATGCAATCTAAATGTGATCAAAAGGCATAATGCTGGCAGAGAAATAAGAGGTTGCTCTTTCACCCTTACTGGAATCCAAACCATTTTCTTTTATTTGAAAGTCAGTGTTTCCCTTCTGTGGGGACACAGATCGCTTCTCGAGTCAAATCCTAACAAGCAAGCTTGTGAATTTGCATTTCCTGGAGCCAGGTGTTCTTTCCTGTGCAGTCCTTCCTGACGTGTCCTCACTCAGCACACCCCGAGGAGGCTGCATTTTGGCCAACACCAGAGCAACACATTTTTGTCATCTCTGAGGGAGCAGAGGAATGTGACCCATCCTGGGGGTCACATGCTGCCCAACTTCACAGTGAATACCATCGTCTCCTCCCATCTGAGAAAAGGAGCATGGTACGTTCAGAACTTTCTGTTATGTGTAGGTTTAGGGCTCCAAGCCCCAGGAAATTTCAGCTAACACAGCACTACATCTCTAGCAGCACAGGCTGCACTACGCTTATCGACCCCTTGCCTCAGCTGGCCTCCCATGGAGCAGCAGGTGGAGTTGAAAGTTTCAGTTGTTGACACACCAGATAACTAAAATTAAAAAAAAAAAAAAAAAAAAAAAAAAAAAAAAAAACCAAAACACAAAGGCCTTAATTTCTGCTGTGAAAGCATAGGTCGGGAACTTGCATCCCGAGGCAAAATGGAGCTGCCCCACAGCACCAGGGCTCGCACGTGCACAGCCAACGCTGCAGCCTGCGGCCGGCCCACTGACAGGTTTTCACAGAAATTAAGAGCCAACACAGATTTTTCTCACTCAGCTCTGAGTGCCAAGTGCTGGTGTCTTTTAACCCACCCTGAGCACATGTGTGCGTGTGTATAAATCTTTGCATCATTTAAAATCTCCAAGAGCTCACAGTCTCCAAGGAGAGCACAGCTCCTTGTGGTTTAATGCCACGGAGCGATATCTTGTTGAAAAAGGCCCAAACTAAAGCTGCCTCTGCAGTCTTAATTCAGCTGTCTGGCACGTCAGCATTATAAAGTGAGCTTCCGTCAAAGGTTGTAGGTGATGTTTCCATAAAAGATCACACATCAGCCCATGCACAGAATAGAGACACCGAGGTCGCAGCAAGGCAAAAGTACATCACCCTGGTGGTAACATCAAGAAATCTGAGCAGCCACATACCTGAGACACCGAACCCAATGATCAGGGCAATCACCGCGGCCAGGATGATAATGACTGTAGTCTTGCTATTTGGAGAAAAAAGAAAGGACAGCGTTACCATGCAGCCCACGGCCTTTCACACCCTATGCCTACGGTGCATGTCTGCAGAGCCACCAGCAGGAAGGAGGTCGAGGTGGGTGAGCCACAGACCTAAGAGCAAGGTGGACTGGTGGAGTGTATGACCACAGTAGTGACAAGCACTTGGGTGAGCACTCATCAAAGGTTCGGGACCACATGGTGGGAGGACAAGAGACCTAGGCTTTGCCTTTTGGAGGAGGCAGCGGGTTGCAGCAGCAGCTGCTCCTCTCTGCATGCCCTGGTGCATAAGTGAGCACTTGGCGAAGGACTAGCTGCCCAAGGAGGTGAGCAGAGCACTGAGACAGGCCCCTGGCCCCCAGCAGACACCCTGTGCAAGCCGAGGAGCAGGCAGGAGGGGGTTGCAAGCAGGGCCGGGTTAGTGAGCACATTGGAACCCAGTAGATAAGGGGTTGTTGAATCAGAGACCGAGGAGGAGAGGACCACCTGGCAGAGGAGGGGACAGGCAGCATGGCACGGAGCAGCACAGCTCAAGCCTTGCCGAGTGCAACCCACCTCTGGCATCACCCCAGCTTGGACAGACCCATAAACACGGCCGGGCGCAGGCTCTCACCGCAGCCGGCGGAGCTGTCACACACGGTCCTGGGCACATTTTCATGTGGACTGGAGGGTTGCGGTAGTAATCCCAGCTCCCTGCCAGAGCAAGCCCTGAGGCAGCTCCCCACAAAAACCCGCAGGTACATCCCAGGGCAAGCAGCCCACGTGCTCACGCCCAACAGTCTCACAGGCGTGCTGGGCTCAGCCCTGCTCAGGATTGTCAGAGGAGAAGCCCAGAGAGCTGCAGGAGGTCTTCACAGGGGACTTTACCCCATTTGCAAGGCCAGCAGGACACTGGAGGGAGCTGCGCTGCAGGAGGCATGGGCACCAATAGGGCACCAGTGTCCAGGACTGTGAGCCCAGGGCTTGTTGTACACAGAAACTCTTGAGCTGCTGCTTCCCATCTCATATCCAGGCAGGACCAGGCTGCAAGATATCACAGCCCCCCTGCCCACACAAAAAATAGCTGCTCTGCTTCGGCAGCATTTGCCGGCTTGCAGCAAACTCTTTTCCAACATATCGGGCAGCCTCCTGCAGGAGACCCCGTCGGTGTCCATACAACTGCAAAATCCTCCCACTGTTAATGTGTACCTGCCTCAGTTACTTGCACAATTGCGCCTCAGTCATCACGGATGCCACGGTCACAGGGCTGAGATGGAGCTCTGGGAAGTTGCACCGTGTGAACAAGGCCCTCCTGCAGGCAGCAGCAGGGAAGGATGAAAGGGAGGACAGATGTTGTAGAAGACTTGCTTGCCCTTCCCCTGTCTCCCTTCCATCCTCATCCTTAAAGCCAGTGGAAAGTTGTCTGAGGAAGCCCTGTCTGCACATGCTGGTGTGCTCAGGAGAAGGAATCAGAACTGTATTTCACCACCAGTACATATCTGTGTTCACATCCGCACCAAGACCTCCCTGCCTAGAAGCCCTCAGAGCTGGAAGGTGTCCTGTGTTTGGCTTCCTCCCTGTTCTCACCAGCTTTCACTCATGACCAGGGTGGACACCAGTTCTCCACCTTCCCCCTTCCAGTGCCCTGCAGCTGTGGTCACAGCCGACCCTATCAGGGAGGAAAGAGGTGGATATCCTCCAGCCACAGGCACTGGGCAGCTGGGGACCCATCACCAGCCACCACCTTCCCTGGGGTCCTGTGGGATGGGGACTTCATCTGTTTGCTTATATGGATCCCATAGTGTGACAGCTTCCAGCAAAGACTGGTCATGTCCCATGGGGCTCAACCCCAAGTCACTTGGGAGCTCCACCAGTTTCTAGAGCTGATCCCAGATTGAGATAGTTGTGATAAACTCAGCCAAGGTTGCCATGACCAGCCTCAGCTCTCACGCTTGGGAAGCACGAAGCAAGCAGCATCCATGCTGTGCTGTCACACAGGAGCTGTGACTCACCTTCACCCCTCTAAAATCCTCCTTCCCAAGAGCAGACAAGGAAGAAATTGCTGGGAGCCAAGAGATGCTGCCTGCAGGTTACAGTGGATTTCATCAGTAAATGCCGGAGGGGGTATGGCAGGTACAAGCAGACAGGACTCCCTCCTGTGCAGTCCCTGAAAGCTCCAAGTGCCACCACACTTGCCCTCGGTCCTTGAAAGGACCTTCTGCCTGAACACCACCTCTGCCCTAGCACTCTGCTGGGTAAAACCATCCTCAGCTCGCTCACAGACAAACACAAATCAGCACAAACAGGCCAGCAACAATGTTTTTGTCTCCTGCTGGTGCCATCTGCCCCCATGGCTAAAAAGCCTTGCTAGCTTTGCCTCCAGAGAAGCGTTTCCCACCCTTGGTTCAAGGCAGCAGCAGGGCTGGTGGAAAAAACTGCTCATCTGTTACAGAGGGGGTGGCAATTTTGGGTGCATGGCTGTCTTCACCTTTCCAGGGACAAGGGGAATCAGGTCCCTTTGGAGTTTTCTCCATAGAAACTGTGAGAACCAAGAATCACAAGGGCCTTAAAAATATTTGCCTGCAAGCCCCTGTGCATATTGAGTAGTTCTGGAGTGCAGAGCAAACAAGAGGAAGCTGGCAACCCAGCCGCATGCTGACGGCAGCTGTGTTTCGCAACAGTCCAGTCCAGCAGTTCAAGCAAAAAGCAATTTTCTGTGCATCAGCACCCCTCCTATTTCCAGTGTTTCAGAGGCATGGAAGCAGGCGGCCGGGGCTGCACAAGTCAGAGCCCTGACACCATCCTCGGTTCCCGGCACCGCTTCAGCAGCCTGCAGGATGCTGCTCCGTGTACCTTCCCCTTTCTTCCGTGGTCCCGTTCCGGATCAGCCAAATGGAATTTGGCACAAAATTCATTCATTCCCCACCTGAGCGCTGTCGAGCACAGCTCAGGGACAGAGAGGCTCGCAGCCCCACTGTGACAGGTGACAGAGGTTTAATACTCCTGATCTCTAGCTCTGCTCAAAGCTTTCCCTTGGGAATGGTCTTAGAGACGTGAGGATCAAAAAACCTGGAAGATTAAGAGATTGAACGTCCCCTGCCTTCCTTCTTATGCCAAAGCTCACTGTGGAAAAGCATTAGCATGGCAGGGGTAACTCAAAATGAAGTGTTCTCCATTCCAATGAGCTGTTAATGATTGCAGAGCTCATTTTTTTCTGGGCACATAAATTTTATTTTTTTTTTTTAGTGTTCTTTTTTATTTTGTTTTGATTTTTCCTGAAAGAAGTAGAAACCTCTTGCTGCTCCTCTGAAGCTCTCTGGAAAATTCATCCCTCTCTCTAGGCTAAATTGGTATTTCAAGATCAGCCTGAAGAAGCCAATGTCCTTGAAGAATCCTGTTGCTTCCAGGAACCTGCTGCCACCTGGCTGTGCGCAGCCGCCCGGGACAGGCAGAGGTGCTGGCAGAGCCAGAGGATGGCTCTCAGGGCAGCGAGGGGTAGGCATGCATTTTTTCACACCCATCAGTTCATGCGTTTCCCTGACAAAAGCCAGCTGGGCTGCCTCCTGAGAATAACAGAGCTGGTTATTACATGCATTCCAGACGCATGAGGAATACGACGCCCAGTGAATATTTACACTGTGTTACATTTTGTCTACTAGTGATCTCACTTTAGTCTGTGAAAAGATTCAGATAATATTACTGTTTAGTTCTTCCTTGATGCTCCATGTGAGAAAGCTGGAGCATGGCTCATATGTGAGAGGTCTCTTCTGATCACATGTGGACTATCCTTCTCCCCACTGCTGTTCACCTCAGGCAGGACAGATACTCGTAACAGCCAAAACCTTTTTGACAGAATAAATGCAAGCAGGGATGTCTCACCCACCTCACTGGTGCCTCTGCCTCCATCCAGCCTGGAAAAGCCCACACCTGGGATGAAGCTTGTTGGTGGCTCTGTTCAAGCAGTCAGGCATAGATGAGAGCTTGGTCCACATTCATCAAAGGCTGAAGCAAGTTTGCCACTTTACCCATCTTGTGGGGGTTACTTTCAACTAATCAGGAAATAGGGACATAAGGTAGATATTTTTATGGCCTTCCCCACGATACTTATTTTTCTGGCTGTAGTTCACAGGGTTTGGTCAATAGCTTCAGAGGAAACAGGCACATTGAAACAAGAGGCACAAAACAGCTTGCACATCTTCCCAGCTCTTACTCCTGACCCACACAGCAAGTAAATTTGTTGCAAGACAGCTTCGGCCTTTCTCTCCAAAGCACGCTGGTGTGATGGAAATGAGCAACTGTCTGAGGGCCAGCAGAAGGAACAGTGAGCCTTCTTTAAGCCACTGATATCCCAATCTACAACAGCAGGAACACGGAGCCTTTCTCGAGCCATTGGTACCCCAACCTACCACAGCATTCAAACCTGAGGTAGCATATTGTAACCATGCACAGTTTCTAAGACATGCATCTCCCTCCTGGCTACAATCAGTGACCTGGATGTGGATGTCTGACAGCTACACAACCTTACTAATTGTACAAAAGAAGCCGTACCAGTATTTAAGTTGGTTGGATAAGTGCAGTATAGAGTCAAGCTGCAAAGAACTGTTGTACTGAAAGCTCCTGGCATCAGGGTGATACAGCCAAGGAGCCTGGAAAATGCAATTCCCTCCCTCCCCTCTCATAAGCAGATGCAGATAATAGCATACCTCCAGAAGATGACCTGGCCTTGGGATGCCATGGTCACGTCACTTGTGAAGACAACCAGGTGCCTGAAGGTCCCACACTGTTCAGTACAGCCCCTATACTTTGCACGATATATTCTGCTGGGCTGTCCTGCTTAAATAACTGAACCCAGCTAAGGAGTGGTGAGCCCAAGCAGTGAACTCTCAGGAATGAGGAAGCAGTGAGCATCTCAGCCCCCCCCTCAAGGGCAGTCAAAAGCAGGGAGGCCTGCTTAGTCACTGAGGCAACAGGAGAGACAACCTATACCATCCATTAAAGAAACATGTCTGTTTTAAAACAAAAACTAACACAGCTCAGGGTTTGGTAGCCAGCTAATCCTGCAGTCGGACTGCATGTAGTCTCCCATGTAGATCCACAGCTTGCCCATCACAGACAGGTTGTGTTATACCCAGGACTAGCTCAGGTCTCCTTACTAAAGTCACCCATCATGCTGTTGGCACTGGGCAGAGAGGTCCCACCTGTGGGTCCCCTTCCTGGCCTCATTCACAATGTGCATCTTCACCTGCCTCTGTGCTGCACTGAGAGGCTCCTCCAGGCTCAGCAGTGCCATCAGAGCCACACAGGTTTGGCAGTGGCCTCTCCTCTGACTGCTGTTCTCTTCTGCTGGACTCCTCCAGACCAAACGACTTCTCCTCCCCGAGGCCAGCTCCTGCTGCTCTCATATCTGCCATTATGGTGGACATCAGAGCATGTAAAGGAAAAAACTGGCACAGGCTCTGCAAGCCTCTGCCTCTGTGCTGGGTCTCAGTTGAGGCTGGGGCAGGATTAGTAGCTCTTGGGCGTAAAATGTTGAGAAGGGCAGAGAGGTTATGAAAAAGCAGAAAAGGGAAGGCAGCTTGCACCACCGTCTGCAGTTTCCCAAAGGAGAACCTGTGTATCCTGTCATCTATGTCTGGACTGTGTTCCAGGGAGGGTGGGAAAAGGGAAATTTTTGACAGTGCCTAGCCATCTCCAGCAAGTTTGTGTGCTTAGTAGGAGAGAACAGCCTTCCCATGCAGAGCTGAGGATATCCAAAGCAACTGGGAACTGTCTGGCATCCAACAAAAACCAAATTACTTTCTCTGCAACAACCAGAGATTGAAATCAAGACCAATTAATACTGGACAATGATGACCAAATTAGCTGAAAAGGCTGAACAGGGTTCAGGAGGGCTTAGGATGTCCTGAGGGGCACAATAGCCTTCTAACTGTGCATGTGCAAGATTTCAGAAGTGTGCATTTAGTATTTTGGAATACAGTTCAACTCCAAAAGAGCCTGCTCACCTCTACAAGGGGTGAACATAGCCATATGTGGTATACAACACATAACAGGCTTTTCTAGACAGTGGAGAGAGGACTGGAAGGGGCTGTGGCTCTTGTACAGGCACCAAAGTCATCAAACTGTATTGCAAGGCATTCAGCACCCAGAACTCACCCCTTCCAGCCTTCTGAAACAAAAAAGGCCCAAACAATAGGCCTCAAACCAAAGTTGACTTCTGAGTGAATTCCCCGACCAGCAACCAGCATCTTATCAGCAACATGAAGCAACCAGCATCTTATCAGCATGAAATGCAACCCTGGGAACAATCCCTGGGAACTATAAGTACACAACAGGAAGTAACTATAAATCCCAAATGTAAAGAAAAACGGAAACTCCTCAGACATGCCCGGATCCTGGCCAGATCCAGACATGCCTGAGTGAGACATGTCAATCTACCAGCTATCTCCCGTGCATTTTGTATAGGTTTGTTTGTTAAACTGTACAAAAGCCGGGCCCTCTCCCAGCACAGACGCAGACCTCACCTACGAGCGGACGCCCTGCGTGGGACTTCCCAGCTGCCGGGAAAGGCTCTGCGACCCTTCGCTGGGACGGGGCTCCCCAGATGATGCACGGGTCGGGGGGATGGTAAAGTAGGAGGGCAACTGGTGATGGATCTTTCTTAATCACTATAGCCAGCTTTATGTAGTAATGACTAGGTACATTACCTTGCTTATTCTTTCTGCTGCTTCAAATTAAAATAAAATAAGCCTATTTCTTTAGCTTGGTGTCTGTGTCCTTTGTGTTAACCCCGTCAATTGGCAAAACAAATCTGGCGTCACGGACAGGATGAGAACAAAATGTCATTTTTTAAATCTAAACGTAATGAATCAGCTCCATCAGAAATTCCTGGATGGGAAGACTTTCCCTATAGTTCACTGGCTCTTGAGTGGGCTAAGGTCGGAGGACCATGTGAACAGTGGGAAAGTTGGCTAAAAGAAGCTGAACCGCTGGATGTATTAAAATGTATCCAAAAATTATCTATCAAAAAAGGAAAAGAAATTGTGTGTTCAGGAAAGCGGGGATGGGTTTTGTTAACAGCATATCGGAAACAGCACCAACAGAAAGAAAAACTGTTGTTAGAGCGCTCCCACATGGAGCGACAGATGTGTGATTTGCAGAATCAGACTGTAATGTTACATTGTCAAAACAAGTTGCTTGCAGATAAGTTGGATGCTTATCAGACCGTAGCTGAAAGAGCTACAGTAAGAGTTGCACAGTATAAGAAAAGAAGGGGACAAGTAAACCGTAGGAAAGTGCATGCTGTGATTGCAGAAGCAGGGGTACAGTGGGATCCTGACAGATGGGATGGAGATATTTGGGATTCTACAGGTTCTGATGAGGCTGGTTCCTCAGATGAACCTGTGGATGTAAAACCAGTGTGGAGACGGAAAATAGAATTGGATACTAATAGGCAACAAATAAGGAAGGATGTGATTGAGGGTTATACTCAGCATGAAATAAATGATATATTTGAAAGATTTAAGCAGAGACTGGGGGAACCCCTGCTCTCTTGGATGGTGTGTTTGCACGATCAGGGAGCAGCAGGGGTAACCCTAGATCCAGGGGACTCTAGGAAGTTTTTAGTTTTGAGTTCTGACTCCTTTGTGCAAGATGCATTCCGAAATAATCCTCAGGATACAAATTTGTTAACCTTGGCCACCCGGGGATGTACTAATAAATACCCCACGGAGAATGATTGGCCAGGTGGGGAATGTCCCTGGTGTACTTTGCGAGATTGTATACAGTGGATGGAGGAGCAAGGGATGAAATTGGCAGTCGTTATAGGAGACCCTGACAGAATGATGCAAGCTGCTTTGTCTGTCACTCATAGAAACCGATTGATTAAAACTGCCCCACCAGCATATAAAAATGTAATAATGACTCTCTTAATTAATGAGACAGGAAATCCCATTGATGAGATAACTGAAAAAATACAGCAGCTAGGTGATCTTGGAGAATGGGGCCCCTGAGGAAGTGCAGGAAACCGAGATACTCGGGACAGCCCTAAAGGAAATGAGAACAGAGTTTCTCGCAAGGAAATGTTTACAGCTTTATTGAAGGATGGCCTATCTCGTGAAAAGATTGATGGTGTTCCAACTAACGAGCTGTGGCGAATATACAAACAAAGAGGGCTGAATAAACCTAGCAGGAGAGTGCAGAGTTCTGAAACTAAGAATCCAGGGGTAACTCAGCCTACAGCACCTCTTCCTGAGCCTCAACGGGACTTCCCATCTGCAGACGGTGGGCCCTCCACGGGCAGATCAGTTGTTCCGGGGGAAAGGGAGGATTGGGAGCCGTATTCTGATTTATACCCATGGAAGGAGACTAGGGAAATAGTTCAGCGTAGTAAACAGGAATGAAATTATGGCCAAGCTCCAGTACAATGGGCACGGAAGGACCGACGGCCCCATGCGGAGGCCCAAATATTTTGGAAAAACTGGTCCTCACAAACAGTAAAAGCCTTAATTGACACAGGAGCGGAGGCCTCCTTGATATATTGGAATCCAAAGAAATTTAAAGGACAACCTGTAACTATTACAGGTCTGGGAGGGAAACAAATTGAAGCTGTACAAACTCAAATTGAAATGAAAATAGGAAACCTCCCAAAATGACTGTATTCAGTCATGATTGTCCCCATTCCTGAATACATAATAGGAATAGACATTTTGAAGGGACTAACTTTGAATCTCCCAGACGGTCAGTACCAGTTTGGGGTGAAAAATCGTATCAGTATTAGAACAATTTTAGTAGGAAAAGTGAAAATGCCTCCTGTACAGATTCCTGCTGCTACTAAATTAGTGACTATGAAACAATATAGAATTCCAGGAGGGCGTGAGGAGATATCACAGACAAGTAAAGATTTATTAGATGCAGGAGTGTTGAAACCAGTTACCACAGCTTGGAACAATCCGGTATGGCCTGTCAAGAAAAGTGATGGGTCATGGAGAATGACAGTAGATTTTAGGGAATTAAATAAACACACCCCACTGCATACAGCAGCTGTACCAGATACTATTACTTTAATAGAAAAGGTTCAAAAGCATTCAGGGACTTGATAAGCTGTAATAGATTTAGCTAACACCTTTTTCACTATCCCAATTGCAGAGGAGCATTGGGACCAATTTGCCTTCACCTGGCAGGGACGACAGTATACCTTTACCAGATTGCCTCAGGGATGTCTGCATAGTCCAACCATTTGCCACCGGACAGTGGCTGAGCATCTGGATAGATAAAATTGCCTCCTCATATGCAAATACTGCATTATATTGATGATATACTAATTCAGGGAAACAATGAGAAGGAAGTGCAACAAATACTTGAATAGGTGGTGGATCCTATGAGACAGGAAGGTTGGGAAATTAATCCTAACAAGATTCAAGAACCATCCCAAACTGTAAATTTTTTAGGAATTCAATGGCATTGTGGGCATCAGGAAATATTAGCCAAAACTCTCACAATCACTGATATTGCCAGTTTTGAAAGCAATTGTGAAAAGAGGGGATCCCCCTCAAGTCACCACTGTTGGTGGAGATAAAGGGTTTGGATCAACTAATTTCAATAACAGAGCTAAAGTATGGGTCCAAAGTTCAAGCAGACCTCCTGAACCAGCTGAAGTAATAGCCACAGGAAAATACAATACTATTTTAATCATGAAACCTGGACAGGAAAAATGGGAATATGTTCCTACAACTAAATGTTATCTGTGAGAATAACTAGATGTCTTAAGATTCTATCTTTTAGGTCCTGCTAAGATGGATTTGTCTGTGTATCGTCACGGTCCATTTGGGAAAGACTTTT